TTACTCAGCTTGCTAAAAAAGGAAAAGCTTTAACTGAACAAAAGTTTATTTTATTTTGTACAAACTGGGTTGTTACTTTTACTAATTCAAATTTTTTAATCAATTGTTTTTTTTATTAATGTCATAGAATGGAAAAAAATTCCTATCATACAATTTCGTAGTATGAAAAAATGCTTGTCATGCAATTGCATAGTATGAAGAAATACTTATCATACACTTTCATAGTATGAAAAACTGCTCGTCATACAATTTCATATTATGAAAAGAATTATTATCATACAGTTTCATAGTATGAAAAAATACTTATCTTACAATTTCATAGTATGAAATAAATGCTTCTCTTACAAATTCATAATGAAAAAATGTTTATCATACTATTTTATAACATAAAAATTGGTATTCATGCTAATTTTTTTCATTTTTTTGTTAAAAATTGTATGATTCAAAGCTTATTAATCAATTCCAGACCATGTAAAAAATGCCTATTGTAATGTTCCATAGTATGGAAAAAATGCTTATCATGCTATTCTCATAGTATTTTTTAGTCTATGAAATAGTATGATAAGCATTTTTTCATAATATGGAATAGTATGATAAGCACTTTTTGTCAACCCGGGTCATGATGTGTAAATATCTTGATTTTGCACATATTAGGACGACGCTCTAAATTTTCCAATTGTTTGAAGTACAAAATGATGAACTTAGCGTAAAGTAACGTATTACTCAAAATAACTAGCATGGCTCTATTCAATTTGATATCATTTCTGATACAAACAAAACTACCATTATATCAAGGCAAAGCTCTGAATGGTCCGACTGTCCCTTGATTTATATCGAATAGTTTTTAGGAAAAGAAAATATTGAAAACCTGTGCATTTTGGAAAATATCAAAGTGTTAAATTTTAAGTCGTACGAAATTAATAAGACCAATTAGCTAGCCTCAATTGATTTTGGAATGATTATGTTATGCGGGATAATTCGCCACCTATTAAAAAATCGCGTTACGCTCTCGGTATTATGAATCAAATCTTCAAAGCGCGCATAACTTACTCCAAAACAATGCAAATTCGGCAATTTTCAAACCCCCGAAACTTAACAAAAAATCATCGGAGGTGAAATAACTTCTTACATATGAACTCAATAGCTTCAATAGCTTCAATGGGGTATAAAATTTTTTTTTTGAAATTTATTGTTTCGATCGGTGAAAATTGACTAGATAAAAAAACCACACCGAGCATAAAAACCATTCCGTTTTCTTCGAAAGTTTTTCTTCGGAACAAAAACCTAACAATCTTCAGTGTACATATATTCTAAAAGTTTATGCATAGCAAGTTTGTTTCGATCTTCAAAATTTGCTATTTGATGTTTCACATTTCTATTTTAAAGTGAGGAAAGCCTTCAGATTCTAACCAAAATAGAAAAGTTTCAATTTTTCATTTTATCTAGTCTCTTTAATCTAAATTGGCCGAATTGTCTTTGGCTGAATTGTCTCAGTTGTTTTGGCTGAACTGTGTGTATTTTAAATTGGCTGAATCGCCTGTGGCTGAATTGTCTCTGCGCCCTCAAAAATTGTTCCAAACTGAATTGAGGCATAAAGTTTGGTCTGTTTAAAACTTTGCTGTTTGCAAAGAAGACTGCTCATATATCAGGACAAAGCCCTGAATGTTCAGACTGCCCGGTAATCGATTAGTTTTTGGGAAATTATAATTTTGAAAAACTATCAAATTTAGACAATATCAAAGACCAAGTGTGAAATTTCAAGTTACGAAATTAATACGACCGATTAGCTTAGCTAGCCTCAAAAAAATTTGGACTGTTTTTATCGTGCTGGATAATTCGTCACACAGCATGAAAAAAAATCAAAACCTGCATAAATTAATCCAGAGCATGGTCAAATTGGCAAATTTTCAAACTCCCAGATCTTCATAAAAAATGATCAGAGATAAAATCTTTTTTCAACTTGGTTTCAGCAAGTTGATATTTTCAAAGCGGTAAAAAAAAAGTGTTTGTTTAAAATTTTTCTTTCACTCGCCTAAAATTGACTGAACAAAAACAAACTCGAGAATGAATTTTCATTTTTCTTTGAAAGTCGGTACAAAAATATCTCTTTTCTGTTTTCTTTGAGCGAGTGGTATCGGTGATATATTTCAAAGAGAAATATTTTTTTTTTTCATTTCTTATGAAAGTTTCATCCATTTCTTTAAAACAGAACGCTACTTCAAATTCCTTAAAAAGCTGTCGGAACATTCAGGGCTTTGCCATGATACGAGTAGTCTTACTTGAATTTAAAATGAAAGTAAATCTTGATATGAAATGAATATCATGTAGATAATCGCTCTAACTTTTCCCCTACCCCCTAGCTTTCACATGGGGGAACAGATAAAGAGATACCCAGTAAAAATAGCATTGTTTTCAAGTTTTTTATTCATATTAACGAAAAACAATAAATTGGTGATATTTTTTTTTGTTCACGGCAAACTTTAAACTTGCATTTGATGTTTTAATTGGAACCCTACATGAACTGAAAAGTTTATAAGTGACCACACAATGGCTACAAACGGAAGACGGGTTATTTTTGTGCCTGATCGCTAAATTGAGGGATTGTGTTGACACTGATTAGTACAGAGGCTAAAAATAACAAATAGTTGTCACGTCATTAGATGGAATTTGATTAATTACTACGGAAGATGTCAAAAAACAAGACTAGAAAATGCATGCTCATTTTCAAACTGTACATGACGTCAAAGAAGATTTTCGCAAAACGGAGAATGGCCTAAAATGAAAAGTTGTTCTGAATTTCCGAGAAGCCCTTTCTTACCATAAGCTTGCGCCAAGAGCAAAACTTTTTAAAATGAGCCTAAAACGCCAATTTGTCATAGTTTTGGGAAGTTTGACTTCATAATTATCTTGCTCCATTCTTAAAATTATTGTAAAATGTTGACCATTTTGAGTGAGGTTTCAGAAATACTTGAGTGAGGAGGGGCCTAAGGGTCAAAACACTACTCTTTTGAAATATTTGTAGTAGCGCAATGCAACTATTGCTCATTATCGAACAATTGGATTATCAAAAAGCGACGTAAAAGAATCAACTGGGAACTACATGCATGTTGGTTTTCCCAAGATGTAGACTTCAAAACACAATTTTCTTTCGATTAAAAAACATTTGTGAGAAACGAATAAGAGCTTTTTAAACTCATGTCATCTCTGTAGCAAATTTTTGGTTAGTTTTGAGTCACAAAGGTCTTCAATTAGATTTAGAAACAGGCCTCAAATGGTCTCAAAGGATGCTCTCAAAAGATATTCAGAATAGGTTCTTCGGATGATTCCAAATTTTGAGTCGAAATTAAAATGATAGTTGAATTAAACAAGTAATTCTTTTTACTCTTTTCAGTAATTGCAATAGAAAGCTAACTCAAAAAGAAAATTTTTTTTGAGATATTTCAAGACAAGAGGCAGATTTCAAGATTTAATATAATATTAAATATAATTCTGACGTAAAAATTTAAAAAAAAAATTCAAAACGCATCAGCCAAATATGGACTAAAAATTCCAACTTTTAGGCCGACAGTCCATTTACTTATCTTCAGGAAGAGCTGCAGCGTATCAGTATCGTGCGTAGAAGGTAAGAGTCACTCTAAGAATTGCGACTGCTTTCCTTTTTTCGAAGTTTTATCTTTTGTTTTTTGTTAAAAACCCACTGTGAAAATGGACTTTCTTTGATAACTCACAACTTTTATACAAGTAGAGATTATGACTAAAGTAAATAAAAGCATCAGCTCGTCATTTTTATCTGTTATAATAACATTTCATAAACATTTCATAATTTTCCATAATTTTCGTTGATTGTTACGGGACCGTTTTTCAGAAAACCGCGTTTTCTGGGTTATTCAAACATTAATTGTAAAACCCGCGTTCATGTTTTGAAAAATCTTCATCTCAACATTTCTCATTTGAACTACGTGTCACTTTTACAAACTTCTGATTCTGATTTAATTTGTTGATCATAAGTCTTCATAATTTTTCTTTGCTCATTAAGCATTTTAATTTATTGAAGTTCTGATTGAAGCTACCTGTCAGGCTCATAAAACCGCCAATACGCCAAAGCAAACAATGAGTCATCATCAGGTGGAAAACATTCCGCCCTTATACTCCAGATTTTTTGAATCGCTGATCGAAAGAGTGAGTTTTTTTAATTGTTGGCATAAAATATATGTGCGGCAACGGTTTACAGAAACCTTTTTTAAGTTCGATTCCTAAGTAAAATATGTAATGAGAATCTGAGGCAATATATCTAGGGAAAAGGCAGAAGTATTCTTCGAAGGAGAAACGAACCCGAGCTCTTGAATTTCAAGAAAGGAACAAAAATTATTTTCACATATTAAAAGAGGTTTACCAAACCGTATTAAAAACAAAAAAAGATAATTTAAAAACATGTGATTTGAAACAAGTTCAAATGAGTTGAAATCAACTGTTTTACAATTTAGAAACTTTCATGTAAAAATGCGAAATAAAAAAACAATAAATTATGGGTTTTCAGAACATTGCACAGGTTGTACGAAAATGACTGATATTTCATCAATTTGAATGTCATCATCAAACAAAATCAAGATGGTTTCATTTAACCGATGAACAATTAGAAAGAATATACTCTTAAATATTCACATATTTACAGGTTTATTGACATCTATAGCAAAAAACAACAAATCAACAATAAGTTTCAATGAATTATTGCATTTCCAGCAAGACTTGAATACTTTTCGTACTCTGCGAAAAAGAATCGCCTAAGTAGGAAAACTGCCAAATGAGCTCAGCACTTTACTGTCGTTTGAAGAGGCTAAATTAGATTAAGATAGCGCAGCACGCGTGAAATAGTGAGTTGATCCTCTGAGCAGCGTAACCCTCTCTCCCCGTGCCCCTACCCCTCAGCCCAGCTCGGGTCTTGAATGGGACCCCTAATTAGATTTAGCCCGCGCCTCTTCCTCTCGCTATCGGGAGAAGACGTAACCCTGTTATTAAATTAACTGCTCATAATTAAATAAAACCACTTTTATTGACATTTTTATTTCCCCGCTTCCATTTTTACACTTGACTTCCATTCTAGCACGGATTTTTTTCAGTTTTCCGTAAGTTTTTTTTAAATATCAGAATAAACTGAGAAATATCACTGATTATCAGAACAGTTTTTTTCATCCCGTTTTAGTCAATTCAGAACACAGTTATTCAGAAGACCTCAAAAGGATACTTGATTGACCTGTTACCTTTTCTTTTAGCAGAGCGTAGCAATGACTAAAGGTAACATTTCGTCCATCTTTCCCTCAGAGCCAGCCGACACTTTCAACTCATTCCACCTAAAAATCTCCAAATTTGATGACTTTGCAAACCCGCCAGTTCCGAAGAAACCACTACTCACAATTGAAGAGGAGGATCCGATCCTTGACCCCAGTCAGTTCCTGGGGACAACAGGTTTAGAGTCACAGAACCAATCATCAAAACAGATACAGATACCATCACAGCAATGTCCGCCAGAAGGTATGCTTGCAATAGCGTTTTCTCTAGTTGCCCGGATCGAGGTGCTCACTTTATGTTTCGACTTTCTAAGTCGAGCACATGTCAGAGCTCGACCGAAAAAGAGTAGTCGAGACCGAGACAGGAGTTCGGATGGAGCACAAATTCGGAACATACATCGAGCGCGGTCGAGCGCGGTCAAAATATACCGAATTTTAGTCGAAATGGTCGACACACACCAGTTTTTTGTCGGACGATGGAATCATAAAGTGACCATCTCGACCCAAGTGCAGAATCAACGGCTATTGTTTTTCAACGGCTTTTTAAAGCTTACTACCCTTAACTTTCCTTGTAGGTGCATTATGCGCCAATTGGCATCAAATTAGAAGGGGAGAGCGCTTGGAAAAGGAAATAATTATATTGCTGTCCTCAAAATTTCAAAAACATTCAACAAGGTCTTATAAAACCAATATTTTCTCAATTAGTTTTCAGAGCTGCTTTTTGTAATGCACCGGATGAGGTCTGCATTTATTTATTCCAGAATTTCAAGGGTCGCGCCGGTGTCATTCCGCGACCAAAAATTCATAACCTCGACAGAGATAGTCTAGAAATCAGGAAACAGTCCAAACTTTGAAGACTTTCCCAAAAGAAAAATTTCACCAGCAGCGTCCTTTCTACGCCAACTGCAAAAACCGCATATACACTCTGTGCTTGCCAAAATTTAAGTTTGTCAAAATTCAGTTGCGATTAGATTATCAAATACCAGCTATGCGTGTAAGAGTTTTAACTCCCTGCATCTTTCACTGTTCAGGTGTGGGTGTGGAAACGTGTCAGAGTTGTCGCAAGGCCATCAGAGACCAGTATCTTCTCCACGTGAACGGGAAGGCATGGCACACTGGGTGTCTGAGGTGCAGTGCCTGTATGACTCATTTGGGCAACCAGCAGTCTTGTTTTGTGGGCAAAGACGCGCAGCTATATTGCAAAAGTGACTACAGCCGGTCAGTTCTCTACTTTCGAACTTTAGAACTCTTAAGAAAGGTTTTTGCTTGGAGTGGTGGGGGAGTGGAAGGCCTGGGAAGGCAGATATTTCCCCGCCATTTTTCATCAAAAAATATCGATCATAATATCAGTTGCGAAAAACTACGTGATCCTTTCGCATTGCCTGCGGGCAGGGGCGGATCTAGGATTTTCTCGAGGGGGGGCGGATTTTCAAAAAATTTTCCAAAATTTTGACGACCTTTTTTTTTTAGGGCGACCAAATTGATTTTTCGAAAAAACAGTCAAAAAAGCCGTTTTTGGGCACTTTTTGAAAAATTTTGACAAAAATTAGCGTTTTTTTGGCGCGCGCTCCCCCTTAGTATATATTGGCGTTAGTATATATTGGCGCCAAAGGCGCCTTTAGAAAAATTTTAGGGTCGGTCGGCCAAAAAGGGATTTCTGAAAAAGTATCAAAGGGGGGACCCTTTGGGTCGGCAGGCTGCGGGTGAGGCGGCAATTCTCAATCCAGAAAAATGAACAAAAAAATTGCATGTAACTTAATCAGGGACATAGTTAGTAATTTTTTCTTCGTGTGTAAACCGTCTTGATAAAATAGATCGAGGTCGTTGTCTCAAATTGGATTCTCTAAGAATTAAGAATTGCTTTTTTTCAGTCTTTTTCAGAATTGCTTTTTTAGCCAATAAACAAGGCGTTTTGAATTCTCAGGTTTAGCATTACTCTTTTGGTCAAAATATAAGATACATGCATCTAGGATTTTCTCGAGGGGGGCGCATTTTCAAAAACTTTGTCAACTTTTCTTTCTTTAGGTCGATCATATTGATTTTCCGAGCTCTTCCAGAGCACCAAAAAGACTCTATTTGGGCCAAAGTTGCTGCGCCGCAAGCAAAATTTTGAAAAAAAAACAGGCCAAAAAAGCGTTTTTAGGCATTTCTTGGAAAACTTTGACCAAAAAATTGTGATTTTTTTAGGCGCGCGCTCCCACTCGAATTTAGTATCTATTGAAGCCCAAGGCGCCTTTAGAAAAATTTTCGGGTCCGTCACCAAACATTTGTCTCTCAAAATAGTACAAAGGGGGACCCTTTGGGTCGGCATGGGGTCGAATTCCTGAAGAATAAAGCGTCCCCCCATCCAAATCCGCCCCTGGATACAAGAGCTGACAAAAACGCTACTTCTATTTCCATAATAAAAACAAAAGTTTTTTTTTCAATCCGTGGAGTAACAATTTTGTATGTCTAAGAAATTGGATAGAATTATCACGAGATGATCAGCACTTTTTTATTGAGTTGTATGGGCTCGTATGCCATATAAAAGTTTTCTTTTAGGACTGTTTTTCGTGCGTTTTGAAAATACCGCGTTTACCTTTTTTGTCAAATTGATTGAACTTTAGATACTTTGGAGTGCGATGTGCCAAGTGCCAGCGGGTAGTGTCCAGCACCGACTGGGTTAGGAGAGCCAAACAATTAGTGTACCACCTAGCCTGTTTCGCCTGCAACATCTGCCACCGACAATTGTCGACTGGTGAGGAGTTCGCGCTACACGAACATCACGTGCTGTGTCGACAACACTTCATGGAGCTTCTGGATATTCCCCCTGCGGGAGGAGGAGCAAGTGGGGCCAACGGGGCGGGGACGACAAAAGGCGGAAGTTCTTCAGGGGTTCTTGTGCCGTCATCATCATCTACAAGTGGTGCTGGTGGTTGTAGTGGCAATGGGTCGGATTCGAACGACAGGGCAGATTGTAATTCGATGAATGGTTAGTTAGAATTTCAATTTGGATTTAAAAAAAAATTGAAAAAACAGGCCAACAAAAGAGGTTTTTAGGCACTTTTTGGAAAATGCTGACCGCGTTTTTTCGGTGCGCAATTTGCAGGTGGGTGGAAAAGGAAAAAGAGCCCAAAAATCGAGCTTTTTAGGCGCGCGCACGGATGACAATCATTCGGATGTGCTATCACTATCCTGTGCTTGACCTCACCCCCTACCCTCAATAGCACGTAGTCAAAGCAATTACTGTAGCTTCTAACGATTGTCACTATCCATTTATTTGTTCATGATTAATTATGTCGGGTTATAAGAACCCAACTCCAAAACTTTGTTGTAAAAACTTATTAAATATGAACAATATCTGCCCTGAAAGTAATATATATTTAACCAATAATATTTTTATGTCAAGTTTGGTTTTCACAAATGAATAAAAATATCTCAAATTCTCTTTTCGATAAGTTTGCTCAAATTTTGTGGTCATTCAGTGACATTGTTCTCAGTAACAAAAAGTTGAAATCAATACTGCGGTTGCACTTTCAAATGAATAAATTATAGTCAAATAGCTCGAATAAGGTACGTGTAAAACGAAATAAATTTGGTTCGTTTTTAGCCAATATAAATCTACTTTGGCTCGAACACTTAACTAAATACCAAATAGACAAATGTATAATTTTCCGCGTTCAACCATTGCTTGTTTAAGGCTCATTTGATTTTCGGCTTATTCGAGCTGTTAGCAATTCCAAAGATCCCCTGAAACAACCTGATTGGTGTATTTAAGAATAAGGTACGTGTAAAACATTTATATGAGGCTTCCACCACATGTTAACGTAGAGCCTCATATAAGCAGAAGTACTGACTGCAAAGACTGTTCCACGCCTGGAAAAACAAAGAATTCAATGAACTCTTGATTTAATTCTAAACTATGAGCCCTCATTTGAAGTGGTTAATTAAAAGAACTTTCGGATATTTAAGAATCTTTCCCCCTTCTATGGTATCTACGAAAGGTCTAAGAGCAGAATGGGTCCAAGAGCAGAAAAACAGAAAAATATCAACTTTTATAAGGTAATCGGCAAATTAATTGTCAGAAATGTCAATAATAGCAACGCAACGAACATTTTAGGCATAATTTAAGTAATTTAATCAATAACCTAAAAACTTAATGAAATTAGACAATTCTTCATAATTTATTCGTTTTCTTGGTATTTTTTGACGATTCCAAATATAAACCAATATAAGTCAAGACTTTTCTGTATTTCTGATCTTGGACCCATTCTGCACTTGGACCATTCTGCTAATTGCTCCGCATCCCAACTAAAGAATCTCCGATAAATAAAAACATTTAATTTAGCACTAGAGCTTGTATTGAGAATTCGAATTTTGCTGCATTCTGATTGGTTGAAGTAGAAAAATCGACTATTTTGATCTACTTAACAATCTCCCGCTCCCCCCCCCCCCCCCCTTCACGAAAGGGGAAAGGGGGAGGTTGTTAAGTAGATCTGAAATCTGAAACTTCACCAAATGGGTGGGTGAGAGTTTGTGAAACTATCATTCCTTATCTTGTTTTTTTTTCAGGCGATGGGCCGGATGAGCCGAACGGTTGCAATGACCTGGACTGTGGTGGATCCCTGGGCAGTCCCCACAGTCACAAGAGCAAGAGGTCCAGAACCACCTTCTCCGAGGACCAACTTAAGGTCAGTATATAACGCTTGGTGTACCAGAAACTCAAGAGTACAAGTTGAGTTGGGTAGAAAAAGTGGAAAATATGGAAATTTAAGTTTTCGGGACTTCAAATCTTCAGAATGATCAAGTTAACAAGGGAAGGGCCTTCATACAGCAAAGCTGCTCAGCTCATTATTTGAGAGAACTGCTGCTGCCACTGCTTAAGAACAACCATGCTTTTTTGTTAGATACGAAACATTTGTTCAAATTTTTATAGGTTGACCAAATTGATTTTTCGAGCTTCCCCTGCACACTCTAGGGATCTCATCAGGATCTACTTAACATTTGCCCCCCCCCTTTTAAGAAAGGGGGGGGGGGAATTGTTAAGTAGATTAAAATAACGCATTTTCGACCAATCAGAATGCAGCAAAATTCTAATTCTCAATAGAAAGCTGCTCAGTGCTAATTAACTGCTTTTATAAATAGGGGCGACAATTCTTAAGTAGATACCAAGGGGGGGGGGGCAATTGTTAAGTAGATCCTCTCATTAACTATTTCTCCCCCTTTGCAAGGGGGAGATTAGTTACCAGGTACAAAATCTACAAATGCTGAGCCATTGAATTATAGCTCCATAGGGGTGGCAATTCGTTACTAACGTACCCTAGGTGGGAAATAGTCAAAGAGATCCCACTTTAGAGGCCTTGTTTTGCTAAAATTTACAGCGCCGCAGTCCAACTTTTAAAATAAATAGGCCAAAAGTCTCTTTGAATGGCGAGGAGGTCGGTCGAACCCTTAGAGGGCGTTCGCCCTCACCTAAAGCCACTGCTGCCCAACTGTGATGATACGACGAAAAAATTATGAAATCGATCGATAACTTGGAATACTTTTCACTTAATATACATGAGTTAACCATTTCAACATTTTCAAGTCGTTTTTATTCAGCAATGACGGAGGTAATCAAATAATTATTTTGACAGGGGTAAAACAGCGGTTCTCAACGGTTCTCCGTAAACAGCTGCATGATGATCCTTTTCCTCGAGGAGGTTTGAATCATAAGCAAAGTGATTGAAGTGTTGTTTTTTACTAACTAGGTCCTGCAAGCCAATTTCAACATGGACAGCAACCCCGACGGTCAGGACCTGGAGAGAATTGCCAGTCAGACCGGACTGAGTAAGCGGGTGATCCAGGTCTGGTTCCAGAACGCCAGAAGTCGCCAGAAGAAACACCTGTCTACAGGTAGTAGCGGTGGCAACCACATGAATGGGCAGCAGCAGGGGACAAATGGGGGAGGCCCGCCCGGTGGTATGATGCAAGGAGGAGGCGCAGCGGGGGCAAATCAGGCGGCGGCAATGTTTGCAGCCAATGCGTCCGCTGCGAAGCTTCATCATCACGGTTGGTTATCAAACTTCTGCTACGTTTCATCGCGCTGTCATTTTTTTGTTGTCTCATATATTTCCAGTAATAACGACAGCTGGAAAAACGATGCCGCAATTTTCGATAAAAAACCTCGAGATCAGTTGTCGGATTCGATATTTTAAGAGTCAATACAATACTTATCGGAAAATTCTGACTGAACCTAAAAGTCGTGCAAACTATTTTTTAATTAATACTTGGGTTTTTGACCTTGATCTCGTTTCAGCTCTCACTTTTGTGGGACCATCTGGATTTGATGACGTCATGTCTCCAAACCCAGTCGGACTCATGTGATCACGTGACAGGGTCATAATAGCTGCAAAAGTTCATCAGAATTGTCTTCCGAAACAGGCCAGCTCCGTTTATCTATGCAACTAACTCACCCCTCGTAGTGCTATTAGCTTTTCCGCTGTCAATTTAAAAATCCGAAAACCATGTTTGGTGTATACAGTTCAAAAATCAAAAATATTATTCTTTTCTTGACTTTCAATTTTGAATCTGAATTTTTTGTAAAACACCTTGTTGTTGGCATGACTTTACTTAATAAATAAATTTTTAGTTTCTTATGTTTTCGAAACGGATGGAAGTATCAGCGGTTAACAGCGGCATCATACCAAAATTTTTGACAAAACGAAAATAATCAATAAAAAGAAAAGGAAGGTATTTAGAGATAAATAAAAGAACACTTGCGGAATTATCAAGGAAAACAGAGAGTTAAACGTATAGCCATTGGAAATAGTGAGTTTGGTGTCCGACGCGTAATGCGGAGGGTGGTGTACGCTATCTGTCTTAGGATTTCGACGTTGAGATCCGAGAGTTTGTTCCTGGGGAAAGTATCGAGGAGAGCAAAAAAATTCGAACACATTAAACAAACAACATCGGCAATCCAAAAATCAACGTCTTGAATGCAGGTGCAGCAGCAAAAGCATCGTACTCTGGCCCCAAAATAAAATAAAAACCGCTCATGACAATAAAAAATACAAAACAAAACAGAAGAGCGTTCAGGGGTAAAGAATCTAACAAAAAGAATACGAATAACAGGAATACGAGAAATAAATGAAACGTAAACCATGACAAAATTGTTGTAGATCTTTGAGAGGAGAGAATTTGATTAACTGTCCCTTTATATGAGCTTGTCGATCAATGCGAAAACATGCAAAAGCTGCGGTAAACCAAATAAAACCCCGCGCGAAAGTAAGCAGATTCCAACAAGCAAGTAAACTGGCGCAAAAACCGGAAGCCTCAGAAGAACATTGCAAATTAATGGAGAATATTGAGGATTCCAAAGATTTCGAACATTGAAAGAGTGCCACCTTCGGTGCTGTTTTGCAGAATCGGTAGCGCCGAAAGTTGTAAGACAACGGTATTTTTGTCTCAATTTGAAAAAAGTTGCCAGCAGCGCAAACAGTTTGCCTACAATTGGTTAAATTTTTTTAAATCGTTGTGTAGAATTGATGATTATACTTTATTGCATGCTATAGTAACCTGAGCGTAATATTGATTCGTCATTAAGTTAAGTAGTAGAGCAAACAAAGGGTAGAGCTCGAAATAGTTCATTCTTTGAAGATATCGTCCCTCCTATTCCAGAAAATAAGATTTGACAAAATTGGCGAACCCCCCCCCCCTTCACGAAAGGGGAAAGGGGGAGGTTGTTAAGTAGATCTGAAATCTGAAACTTCACCAAATGGGTGGGTGAGAGTTTGTGAAACTATCATTCCTTATCTTGTTTTTTTTTCAGGCGATGGGCCGGATGAGCCGAACGGTTGCAATGACCTGGACTGTGGTGGATCCCTGGGCAGTCCCCACAGTCACAAGAGCAAGAGGTCCAGAACCACCTTCTCCGAGGACCAACTTAAGGTCAGTATATAACGCTTGGTGTACCAGAAACTCAAGAGTACAAGTTGAGTTGGGTAGAAAAAGTGGAAAATATGGAAATTTAAGTTTTCGGGACTTCAAATCTTCAGAATGATCAAGTTAACAAGGGAAGGGCCTTCATACAGCAAAGCTGCTCAGCTCATTATTTGAGAGAACTGCTGCTGCCACTGCTTAAGAACAACCATGCTTTTTTGTTAGATACGAAACATTTGTTCAAATTTTTATAGGTTGACCAAATTGATTTTTCGAGCTTCCCCTGCACACTCTAGGGATCTCATCAGGATCTACTTAACATTTGCCCCCCCCCCTTTTAAGAAAGGGGGGGGGGAATTGTTAAGTAGATTAAAATAACGCATTTTCGACCAATCAGAATGCAGCAAAATTCTAATTCTCAATAGAAAGCTGCTCAGTGCTAATTAACTGCTTTTATAAATAGGGGCGACAATTCTTAAGTAGATACCAAGGGGGGGGGGGGGGGGGGGCAATTGTTAAGTAGATCCTCTCATTAACTATTTCTCCCCCTTTGCAAGGGGGAGATTAGTTACCAGGTACAAAATCTACAAATGCTGAGCCATTGAATTATAGCTCCATAGGGGTGGCAATTCGTTACTAACGTACCCTAGGTGGGAAATAGTCAAAGAGATCCCACTTTAGAGGCCTTGTTTTGCTAAAATTTACAGCGCCGCAGTCCAACTTTTAAAATAAATAGGCCAAAAGTCTCTTTGAATGGCGAGGAGGTCGGTCGAACCCTTAGAGGGCGTTCGCCCTCACCTAAAGCCACTGCTGCCCAACTGTGATGATACGACGAAAAAATTATGAAATCGATCGATAACTTGGAATACTTTTCACTTAATATACATGAGTTAACCATTTCAACATTTTCAAGTCGTTTTTATTCAGCAATGACGGAGGTAATCAAATAATTATTTTGACAGGGGTAAAACAGCGGTTCTCAACGGTTCTCCGTAAACAGCTGCATGATGATCCTTTTCCTCGAGGAGGTTTGAATCATAAGCAAAGTGATTGAAGTGTTGTTTTTTACTAACTAGGTCCTGCAAGCCAATTTCAACATGGACAGCAACCCCGACGGTCAGGACCTGGAGAGAATTGCCAGTCAGACCGGACTGAGTAAGCGGGTGATCCAGGTCTGGTTCCAGAACGCCAGAAGTCGCCAGAAGAAACACCTGTCTACAGGTAGTAGCGGTGGCAACCACATGAATGGGCAGCAGCAGGGGACAAATGGGGGAGGCCCGCCCGGTGGTATGATGCAAGGAGGAGGCGCAGCGGGGGCAAATCAGGCGGCGGCAATGTTTGCAGCCAATGCGTCCGCTGCGAAGCTTCATCATCACGGTTGGTTATCAAACTTCTGCTACGTTTCATCGCGCTGTCATTTTTTTGTTGTCTCATATATTTCCAGTAATAACGACAGCTGGAGAAACGATGCCGCAATTTTCGATAAAAAACCTCGAGATCAGTTGTCGGATTCGATATTTTAAGAGTCAATACAATACTTATCGGAAAATTCTGACTGAACCTAAAAGTCGTGCAAACTATTTTTTAATTAATACTTGGGTTTTTGACCTTGATCTCGTTTCAGCTCTCACTTTTGTGGGACCATCTGGATTTGATGACGTCATGTCTCCAAACCCAGTCGGACTCATGTGATCACGTGACAGGGTCATAATAGCTGCAAAAGTTCATCAGAATTGTCTTCCGAAACAGGCCAGCTCCGTTTATCTATGCAACTAACTCACCCCTCGTAGTGCTATTAGCTTTTCCGCTGTCAATTTAAAAATCCGAAAACCATGTTTGGTGTATACAGTTCAAAAATCAAAAATATTATTCTTTTCTTGACTTTCAATTTTGAATCTGAATTTTTTGTAAAACACCTTGTTGTTGGCATGACTTTACTTAATAAATAAATTTTTAGTTTCTTATGTTTTCGAAACGGATGGAAGTATCAGCGGTTAACAGCGGCATCATACCAAAATTTTTGACAAAACGAAAATAATCAATAAAAAGAAAAGGAAGGTATTTAGAGATAAATAAAAGAACACTTGCGGAATTATCAAGGAAAACAGAGAGTTAAACGTATAGCCATTGGAAATAGTGAGTTTGGTGTCCGACGCGTAATGCGGAGGGTGGTGTACGCTATCTGTCTTAGGATTTCGACGTTGAGATCCGAGAGTTTGTTCCTGGGGAAAGTATCGAGGAGAGCAAAAAAATTCGAACACATTAAACAAACAACATCGGCAATCCAAAAATCAACGTCTTGAATGCAGGTGCAGCAGCAAAAGCATCGTACTCTGGCCCCAAAATAAAATAAAAACCGCTCATGACAATAAAAAATACAAAACAAAACAGAAGAGCGTTCAGGGGTAAAGAATCTAACAAAAAGAATACGAATAACAGGAATACGAGAAATAAATGAAACGTAAACCATGACAAAATTGTTGTAGATCTTTGAGAGGAGAGAATTTGATTAACTGTCCCTTTATATGAGCTTGTCGATCAATGCGAAAACATGCAAAAGCTGCGGTAAACCAAATAAAACCCCGCGCGAAAGTAAGCAGATTCCAACAAGCAAGTAAACTGGCGCAAAAACCGGAAGCCTCAGAAGAACATTGCAAATTAATGGAGAATATTGAGGATTCCAAAGATTTCGAACATTGAAAGAGTGCCACCTTCGGTGCTGTTTTGCAGAATCGGTAGCGCCGAAAGTTGTAAGACAACGGTATTTTTGTCTCAATTTGAAAAAAGTTGCCAGCAGCGCAAACAGTTTGCCTACAATTGGTTAAATTTTTTTAAATCGTTGTGTAGAATTGATGATTATACTTTATTGCATGCTATAGTAACCTGAGCGTAATATTGATTCGTCATTAAGTTAAGTAGTAGAGCAAACAAAGGGTAGAGCTCGAAATAGTTCATTCTTTGAAGATATCGTCCCTCCTATTCCAGAAAATAAGATTTGACAAAATTGGCGAACCCCCCCCCCCCCTTCCCAAATCGGAACTAAGAAAGCTAATGTTATGAAATTCAGAAGAGGGAAACTAGAGATGATTTGACCCGGGCATACAAAAAAGGGCACCCCTCAGACCCTTGGGGGGCAAGTGATAACGGTCCCCGGAAGTGTAAATAGCCCCATCAGAACTCGGAAACTAGCGCCGTTTTGGGTTCAAACTCTAGTAAGTTGTAGGCCTAATTAAGGGAAGCTTAAGTTTAGAATCCCAGACCCCTAGGACACCTACTTCCGGTTTTATGCCCTAAGTGAACAAACCCACGCCTAAATTTCGGAAGTCGTTTCTCGGCCTCCAATGATTACAGAGAGCTGAAACTTGGAGGGATAGTAGATAGTGGCAAGATACAACTTGTATGATTATTTGAACCAAATCCGGCGGTTGGACCGGAAGCTGTTAGCACTTGGAAAAACAACCCTTAGACCGGAATTAGGCAATTTAGGCGAAATGATGAACGGTGGCATAATGATTTTAATGCGGCAATGGAATAAGATACGAACCCCAAAAAAAGACTCCTTGTGAGTGAAAACCCTCCAGCGACTGCTTCCGGTGTTAATAGACCTTTTGCGGAAAAAGTGATAAAGGACCTTAGAAATGCTATAACTAGTGAAGTATTAACGGTATATGAATGGAACTTGGTTAGGATCCCCTAGTTAGGATCCCCTAGCTAGGATCCCCATGAGTTAGGATTCCCATGAGATTCTGAACCCAAATATGGAATTTTGACCCCGATTGACACCTGGGAGACCTCAAATTGACGTTTGGGCGTTTTGATCCCGAAATTGCATGAAAAACCTCAAGATTAATACCGGAAGTTGTGTAGAATTGTGATCGTTGTGTAGAATTGATGATTCTATTTTATTGCATGCTATTGTAGCCTGAGCGTAATATTGATTCGTCATTAAGTTAAGTAGTAGAGCAAACAAAGGGTAGAGCTCGAAATAGTTCATACTTCGAAGATATTGTCCCTCCTATTCCAGAAAATAAGATTTGACAATATTGGCGACCCCCCCCCCCCCCCCAAATCGGAACTAAGAAAGCTAATGTTATGAAATTCAGAAGAGCGAAACTAGAGATGATTTGACCCGGGCATACAAAAAAAGGGACCCCTCAGACCCTTGGGGGGCAAGTGATAACGGTCCCCGGAAGTGTAAATAGCCCTATCAGAACTCGGAAATTAGCGGCGGTTGTGGGTTCAAACTCTAGTAAGTTGTAGGCCTAATTAAGGGAAGCTTAAGTTTAGAATCCCAGACCCCTAGGACACCTACTTCCTGTTTTATGCCCTAAGTAAACAAATCCACCCCTAACTTCCGGAAGTCGTTTCTCGGCCTCCAATGATCACAGAGAGCTGAAACTTGGAGGGATGTTAGGTAGTGGCAAGATACAACTTGTATAATTATTTGAACCAAATCCGGCGGTTGGACCGGAAGCTGTTAGCACTTGGAAAAACAACCCTTAGACCGGAACTAGGCAATTTAGGCGAAATGATGAACGGTGGCATAATGATTTTAATGCGGCAATGGAATAAGATACGAACCCCAAAAAAAAACTTCTTGTGAGTGAAAACCCTCCAGCGACTGCTTCCGGTGTTAATAGCCCTTTTGCGGAAAAAGTGATAAACCTTAGAAATGCTATAAGTATTAACGGGATATGAATGGAACTCGGTTAGGATCCCCTAGTTAGGATCCCCATGAGTTAGGATTCCCATGAGATTCTGAACCCAAATATGGAAGTTTGACCCCGGTTGCTCCCTGGGAGACCTCAAATTGGCGTTTGGGCGTTTTGATCCCAAAATTGCATGAAAAACCCCAAGATTAACACCAGAATGTGACGTATTCCCCAGCCCAACACCTTGAAATGAGAATGGTTCACCTCGCTAAAAGTTGGGAGCAAAACTCATATATTGGGAGGTAGAGCATAAGCTGATTGATATATATCTTTTACATTGCAACCTTAGAGTAGTAGAACATTGGGTTCAGTTTAGCATTGTGAGTGATCTATTAATAGCAAGTCAACTAGACCAAAGAAAAGTGGTCCCAGAAGAAATCGATAGTAATAGGACCGTAGCATGAGAATTAGGTCTCCTAAATAGTATGAACAGACGGGGAATTTATTTGGCTCTCCGGATGTGACTTTTTGGTTTAATTTGACCCCTAATGGATGAACTACCTTACCCTGATAGCTAGAAGGTCGGGATTGGAATAGAGTACAGATAGAAATATTAGATGCCTGAAATTAATTAGCTACCCATGAAAAGGACCTCCCCCTACCCTTGGGAGGTCGGAACGTTAACGGGATAATTAAAATAAAGTCATTGGGAGGTTCACTGAGTAAACGTAGCATGCTTTGGAGTTTGAGTTGAACTCGAGGGCTGAAGTCACTGAGGTCAGGAATTTGCTGATTAGAATCGTAAAACATTTGTTTGCTTGGTCAAATTGTGACAACTACCGCATAATGGGTATCTAATACGCGTAAAAAGATTGATAAAGGAAAGCGAACTTGGCACGGGGCAGAGTTGACAGGGGGAGTGATAAAATATTAAACAAGAGCGGACGGGTGATTTAAGCGGATGTCAGGACTAATCGGGAATGGCGTGACTTAACTAAAGAAAGATAAGAAATTGGAGGGTGTCGGAGAGCTTGTAAGAGTCAGAACAGTGTTATCTACTTTTATGAGTAGTTGGTTCTCAGTCAGAGAAGAGAGCAATTGATACTGAGAGAGAGATTATAGTTGGTTCTCCGTTAGTTAGAGAAAAAAAATATTACTGGTTGGTCAGGTAATTGGTTCTCGGAGTAGGAGTCCAGTAGATAGTTAGTTCTCATCAGAGATTCTCTAGGGAGAGAGATTAGTTAGTGTGAGTGGAGTTAGTTGGAAGCTAATTGCAATTAGTCATTTTGGTCGATAAATCGCGGACCCTTTCCTTTTGAATTATATCCTGGCCACTCAGAGCCTTCTGTAATTGGACATATAATCATCCAATTTAATTTATCATCGGAAATTTTTAAGATTGTATCGAGTAGATGAGACAAGACAGCCGCAAGCGGGGAAAGCAGCATAATACAATACAGAATAGTTGCCACCATATCAACCCTTTGCCGAATTGACGTGTTGCCGAATTGACGACTCGGGTATAATACGACATGGAAGAGCAGGACAGGCGGCTGATTGCTGGAGCGGTAGTTGCAGCAACGAACGCGCTGGACAGGCAGCAAGGCGTATTTGGATTCGGGACAATACGGCCGGATCGTTTTCCTTCCAGTAGCTATCTGAACTGGGCAGACTGGAGGAAGCACTTCGCTTGGGTCGCAGACGCCAACCGCTTGGCGGATGACCAGGCCAGGATGGTCCTACCAACCTGTTTGACGAGCTGGGCTTTGGACAAAATTACAAGCATGCCTGCCCAATTTCGAGAAGAGATCGAGGGCTACGACGAGCCAACGTTGGCTAAGATGCTCGGCCAGCTTGATCACAGGATGATGCCGTTTCAGACGCACGCAGGCGCCCGAGCGGAGTTTAAGAGTTTAATGCAAGGCGAAAAAGAGAGTCTAAGGGAGTTCTCCAGACGAGTCCGGTCCCTTGGGGATGTTGCTAATGCAAACATCGGGGCTCAGGCTAGAGATGACATGAACCGTGAGTAGTTCATCGACGGGCTGTTTGATGTGGAGCTCCAAGACCAGCTCTTGCGGGAAGATTTGGGGAGCCTCGCTCAAGCTGTTGCTCAGGCTCAGGCCCTGAAGCTAGTCAACAAGATGTCACGGACCAGGAACAGAAAGAGGCTGCTTGCTTGTCAATTCTATAATTCCTGCCCCCCATCCGGAGATTCTACCCCGCCCTGATCAAACCCAACAATCCGGGCAGCTCTTTGACCCTTACCCCGG